CACACACACACTCACTCACACTCTCTCACACACACACGCACACACTCACTCACTCACTCACACTCTCTCTCTCACTCACACACACACACAGTCACTCACACTCACACAAACTCACTCACACACAGACACACTCACACTCTCTCACACACACACACACACACGGACGCAAACACAAATGAGATGAGAGATGACAAGCAATACAATACAAACACCGCAACATCAGCTGCTCTGATCAAAACACACACGGACCTCAGACAGATGAGACGACACACACACACACACAGGCAGATGTGAGCTGACGGGGTTAATGACACACTGAACACTGCAGACACACATCGGTCACGTGACGCCTCATATTTCACACACAAAGCAGCAGAAATACGTACCACGTCATGTTTTCCTTGTTTGTTTACATGCTCTGTTCATCAATCCCAATGATTTTACTCTGATTTGATTCAGAAAGCTGTTTACATGAACCCTAACTGTTGCAATCCGCTTCATATATTTGCTTCCATATGCACTAGTACATGTTTTTTGAACAAAACTTCAGCACACGCACAGTGCTGCAGAGCTTTTTAGAAAACATTTAGTATATATTCACTCCTCCACTGAGCAGTTCTTAAAATGTAAAGATATAAATAAACCAACGCACGTTTACACTATTGTGACATTATTTTCATGTCAATAAAACACACAACACCGCAATTCTTAATAATGACAATGAAGAGTCTTAGACCATTATTACCAGAATTACTGTAGTTAACTAAAACTAAAAGTAAAACCATTAAAATACATTTTCATTACTTGAAATAAAAAAAAATTTAAGAAACTTATTTAAGCTACTCGCCAAGGCAACGTTTCTTATTTAAAACAAAAATAACTAAAACTGAACAATTAATAAAAACTATACAGATATATAAAAAAACTACTAAACATTACAGAAAACACAAAATTACTAAAACTTTAAATAATTAGAACTATAATAGTATCTCAATGATACTAAAATAATACTGCGTATTATAATAATAATAAAGCCGTCTTATTTAAATCATTATAAATTCACCACTAATAAAAACTGAAGTTAACATGAACTAAGACAAGTATTTGCTTAGAAGTATTTGTATGGTTACCTAATGTAGGTAACCAATGTTAACTAATGAAAGTCTATTGTAAAGTGTTCAGAAAATATATTTACGGTCCTCAAATCAGCTTGATTCGCTTTGTTCTGTGGTGAAATATGAGCCGGAGATGTTTGTGAGCTTCACCTGTTCAGGGTTAAGCTCAACACTAAGCCTTCACCTGCGCTCGGTGCGTCAGTAATACAGTTCAGACAGTGAGCTGTGTCATCCGTGTTCACTGTACGCACTGTACGCAGTCAGATCAGACGTCATGCTCCGTGCACACAAGAGTTAACCAGTTAAACCACACCACCACTACTTACCAGGGCTGGGAACATAAATCAATGCATCGAAAAAATGATTCCGCATCGATTCTGAGATTTTCCGAATGCATGGCGATTCTTTTTCGAGTCGATTCTGAGCTTAGTTTTGAAGACTGCATGCTCTAGAAACAAATCCTTACAGACACTCGAACCTAAAATAATCATTCATAAGATTGGAAAAGGTTGAAGCGAATCACAAGGGTGTTCACAATTACAGACTCTTCAGCTCTTCTTCATGAGCGTTTGAGCGTGCGGATAAAAACTAGAGTAGAGCGCCACCTGCTGTTAAAATCTACGCTCAGAACCGATTCCAGAGAGAGTCGCCGTGCATTCGGAAGATCTCAGAATCGGTCCACGATCGCAGCCCTACTCCCTCCAGACACGGTTCATCAGTTACAGACACGTACCCTCTGTAGTCGTGACTGGGCTCCTGTCGTCTGATGATCAGGTAGGTGACCACAGCGATGATGATGATGCCGATCACGGCTCCGATCACGCCGCACACGATCACCGCCGCGCTGGTCTGAGGAAGAGCCTCTGAACACAGAGAAACACGCTCACTGCGAGCCCAAAACTATTACTGTTGTGCTACTACTACATCACAAAGGCTGATTTAAGCATGGAAATGTATACACCGTGTTTCAGAGCGCAGCACTGTGTTCATTTACACGTGAGCAGCTCATGATCTGGTGTTTCCAGCATCTCAGACCAACTCTGTTCAGAGTAAACGATCCACATGAATCCATCAGCATCTGCTCGGAGTCCGAGACGCTTTAACGTGCATTTGAGAACGAAACATCTCCAAACATCGGCACAAACTTGAAAGGAGAAGCACTTAACTAAAGAGCAGCTTTATAATTCCTTGCAGCTGTCTGTCAAAATAAAAGTTGGTTTAATGTTTGTAATAAATTTGAGAAGAAATGAAGACAGCTATAAATATTAGTACTGTAATTGTACGATCGTAATGGAAGATATTTTTCTCTGTAAAACTGTTTTGACATGATGATATGTATTATATGCGCTATTAAAATATATATTTCATTTTACACCACTATAAATTAAAAAAAAGGAATATTGCTATTGTTATATTGTTATATGTTTTATTTAGTAACAACAATAATAATAAAACAATTTAAAAGTCATATTCATATATATCCTGAGTATAAGTCGCAATGGGCCAAAATTGCATCTTTAAAAGAAAAAAAAAAGCACAGTTGCGTGACGCATGTTATTATTAAATTCAGAAATAATGTAAGATATCTGTAAATGAAATGTTTGCGAACATTATAAACACTATAAAACATTATAATGGCATTTATTATAAACAGCAATACAGAGGCCAAACTTGTAAACCAATTTGTTTAAAGCGAACCCTGCAGCACAAAAGCAGTGTTAAGTCGCTGGGGTATATTTGTAGCAATAAAGAATGAGAATGTGACGTAACGCCGCGTTGAGTTCTGGGAAACTGCTTTGTTTAGTATAAGAGGGATCACGAAAATGGCATGTTATTGTTTATTTAGTACTGTCCTGAATAAGCTGTTTACATATACTCCACAATTTTGCACATTCTGCAAGGGGTATGTAAACTTATGAGCACAACTGTACATTAATGTAAAGCTTATTGACCCTTATGACTGGTTTTGTGCTCCAGGGTCACATATAAGTCGCAGGATGTTTCCGATGATGACGCTCACCTTTCATGACCACCCTGACTTTAGTGAAGGACATCTGTCTGGAGATGTCTGGAGGATTCTTCACGTCGCAGCTGAACGTCCCGTTGTCCTTGAACTGCATCTGGAGCACACGGATCGACACGTCCTTCTTGTTCATGTCTCCGGCCCATTCCACACGAGACTTAAACTGCGGCACCGAGCCCGGAAACTGCTTCCCACCGGAGTAATAGAAGATCTGCAGAAGAGAGCATACGTGTTGATCACATGCTGACTGTATAACACATGAACATCAGTGCAGTGCAGATGAAGGACTCTTACTGAAGTGAATGCTCCTGTTTCTCCCTCCGGAAGGAAAGACCACACCACTGACGCTAAACTACTGATCACCTCTCTAGACTTGAAACTGCAGGACAGAGTGGCTGTGGTCCCGTTCTCAGCAAACAGCTCGGCTGGAGTGTACACGTCTATCGCAGACACGCCAGACACACCTGAAACACAGGAATACATCAGTCAGACATCCACAGACACCATCACAGACACAGACATAACACTGCCGTGCTTTAATTCTGCTCATATAGCACGGAACTGAATGATTACTAGAGAAAAACCTGAAAATTCCTCAATCAATACCATAGTATTAACACTGCTATACTACACTTTGGCACTGTAGTTAAATACAGACATACAGGACACTATATTTAACAGATGTCATTTAAGGATTTATACCATCTTCTCATTAAAATAAGAAATAAAACACTTAATGAGTCTTTATTGTTCATCTTTTATGTTTGTTAAAGGCTGATCATTCGGGTTTGATTAACTATTAAACATTTACAATAACAGGTGATAATTAAATAAATAAAAGGACAATTTAAGCTATGAATATGAGTTATTATATAAGTTACGTGAGTAAATATGATATAAATAATGTAATAAAGAGGGAGGCTAATGTGCTAACAGAACAATACGAGCTAAACTTCCTCACTTGAGAAACACATTAAACACTCGCAAACTGTATTTAATTAAATCGCCTGCTTCAGAACATGACATTAATACAACGCAAGAGCTGTTCCTTATAGTTTCAGTTTATGTGCTATTAATGTAAAATCACAGATAATAACGTTACCGGAAGCTAGCAGGTTAGCATGCAGCTCCGCTAACGCTCACAGATGAGATCAAAACACCTCAGAGAAATGCATATAAAACTTACCAGCGTACACAAACACCGCGGAGACACACAATAAAACATAATTGTGTGTGAAAATCGGAAGCCTTATTTCCATCCTTTAGATGATATTTCATAAATATCGTCTCCGCGTTTGTTTACAGCATCAGACTGAACCGAACAAACTCTGATCTCAGATCAGATTCTCTGATCATAGTTCTAATGTACCGAATGTAATGCTGCTGATCTTTTTAGTGACCTGAGTCTGACCACGTTTTGTCTACCTTTTTATCTTTGTTTAATATATATATATTTTTATCAGAATATACGTTTAATCTATGTTTTATTTGATGTGTTTTAAGTGATTTTGATTGGACACAGGTGTTTGTGGATCAGATATCAGAAAATCACCTGCAGAGCCCTGATGGAAACACCAGGGGTGTATTCCAGAAAGTGGGTTCCCTTTCAAGGGAACTCCGAACTGCGTCCTCTAGGGGTCGCTATGAGGAACGCCTCGTCGTGACCCGTGTCTGAAGCATACATTGAAAAAACACCAACTCGTTGGCCGGCGACAGCCATGACGTCACTACCGGTGCGACTATAGTATAAATAGGCGCCGGGAGCACACATCATCCACTTCTTTGTCTTCACTGACTGTTTTGTTTGAAGCGTGCATTTCTGTGGTAAGAGCGATCTCTATTCATCTGAAACGGGTCACGACGAGGCGTTCCTCATAGCGACCCCTAGAGGACGCAGTGTCTCGTTCCCTACTCAGGGAACCATGGTTACATAAGTAACCTGAGACGTTTTGTTGGAAATTCAGTTTCCCATCTCAGGGTAAGTCAACTCAGAGTTTGTTGAACGTCCTTTCTGGAATACACCCCAGGTTACCTCCTGAGTCAACCCAGATGACTTACAGTAAGTGGTTCATCCGAAACATGCTTTGGAATGGTTAACCAGCTCAACCGAGTTAATCCCAGGTGTTGTATCAGGCTGAAGCAGATGTTTGAGCTCCCCTGATCATCAGAAACATGAACGCCGCCGGAGGTTTGTTGATCAGATCAGCAGATCATGAACAGAAGAAGTGTGTGTGGTTGAGCTGAAGTCTGTTTATAGACTGATCCGGGTTTATTCAGAAGGAGATGTATTAAATAATCATATATTGAATCTGTTTTGAGTGTTGGTTATCTGTCACTGTGTCACTGATCACAAACAAGATGAGTGTTTAGTCATGCTGTCAATATAACAGTCACTCTGTCAGTGTTTCCTGATGTAAACTATGGATGTGGTTTGGATGACAAAGAAACACAAGTTTGCTTTTTTTTTCTGCACGGCACATCAGATTCAACTGTATGAAGTTGCACATTACTGATTGTTTACCTATCAAACAAATTACAGTATAAATGTCATTGTGATACAGAAAGGAAAAAGATGTTTTATATTTGATCACCATGACATGAGAAGTTTATAATGTAGGAAACAGCAGACAGCTGTACATAATATATGCCAAAGCATTGGCAATTTGCTAGAAAATACAAAAACACAAGGCTGTTTATGGCACAGAGAACAACAGAAACACAGCATTAGAAATGCAGTACTGTAGGAAACGACAGTGTTTCTGCAGATTGAGACACAGATTCTCCTCATCATGACAGATATTTATAACGGTGTTCATATTTTCAGTTTCAACTCTGATCTGATGAATGACACGAAGACGCACAGGTTCCAGTCAGTCAAATGCCTTTCAAACAGAAGTGTGTATAAGGCAGGACCACCCTGACTTTAGTGAAGGACATCTGTCTGGAGATGTCTGGAGGATTCTTCACGTCGCAGCTGAACGTCCCGTTGTCCTTGAACTGCATCTGGAGCACACGGATCGACACGTCCTTCTTGTTCATGTCTCCGGCCCATTCCACACGAGACTTAAACTGCGGCACCGAGCCCGGAAACTGCTTCCCACCGGAGTAATAGAAGATCTGCAGAAGAGAGCATACGTGTTGATCACATGCTGACTGTATAACACATGAACATCAGTGCAGTGCAGATGAAGGACTCTTACTGAAGTGAATGCTCCTGTTTCTCCCTCCGGAAGGAAAGACCACACCACTGACGCTAAACTACTGATCACTTCTCTAGACTTGAAACTGCAGGACAGAGTGGCTGTGGTCCCGTTCTCAGCAAACAGCTCGGCTGGAGTGTACACGTCTATCGCAGACACGCCAGACACACCTGAAACACAGGAATACATCAGTCAGACATCCACATACACCATCACAGACACAGACATAACACTGCCGTGCTTTAATTCTGCTCATATAGCACGGAACTGAATGATTACTAGAGTAAAACTCAAAATTTCCTCAATCAATACCATAGATTGAAATATTTAAGGTGTTTTTGATTTCACAGATGAGAAGAAATGTACAAATAAAACTTACCAGTGAAAATAAACACAGCAGAGACACAATAAAGCATAATTGTGTGTAAAAATCGGAAGCCTTATATCCAGATCAGACACACAACACATCCAGCAGCTCAGATGAACAGACATGAGGAAGTGTGAAAAAGGTGTGAGGCTGAGCTCAAGTCTATTTACAGACGGATCCGTCACTCTTTGTCTTCTTCTACAGTGTTGATCTTGAAGGAAAAGAAAGGGGGAGGGGTAAATATTTTTCACATTCACACACAAAAAAATCTGCAATATGTAGCATAATAAAGTGCACTAGCCTACCCACAATTAAAATAGTTGAAAAAAAGACCAGCATATGCTGGTAAGGTATGTTTTGAAGCATGGCAGCTGGTTTGAACTGGTTTAAGCTGGTCAAGTAACACAAGTTACGTAATCAGATTACTTTTTAAAGTAACTAGTAAAGTAACGCATTACTTTTTAATTCAGAAGGAAATATCTGAGTTACTTTTTCAAATAAGTAACTCGTTACTTTGTTTCCATGTATTGAGTGACAGCTCTGGTGTTGCCATGGTGACAGAAATCAGGAGTAAGTGCAGAGCGTTGTGTGTGAACATGATCTTACTGTAGTTCTAGACTAAATATCAACATGTGTTTACAGTCTCTCTCTCGGGGTTCATTCGGTCTATTAACTGTACATGTAATTGGATGTGTTTGTCAGCAGCTGCTCTGTTAAATACTATCTTTATGTCTGTTTCATTCCCAGCACTAGTAAGTGTCTATAGACACAGTTCTTTATAAAGAAAAGAACTGGTTTCCAAAACACATCTTTGACTGATTAACTAGTTTGACTAACTAGTAGGGCTTATGACCTGTTTTTTTTCCCCAACAGGGTCTGCATGTGATTGTCTGATATCTGAACGGAGAGATTTCACCAAGCTGTAAATAATCTAGTATGATATTTCCAGTGTTGGGAGGGTTACTTTGTTAATGTAACAGGTTACAGATTACAAGTTACCCTATTTGAAATGTAACAAGTAGTGTAACGATTTCAATTACTTTAATAAAGTAGTGTAACTGATTACTTTCTGATTGCTTTTCTAAACTTCTAATGTTTTCAACTGTTAATCATTTTGAAACATGTAAAGCAGACG